TAGCAAGAGAGGCGAGACACGCAGATGAAAGGCTCGTCATTGAAACAGAGACAACTCAGTGGAGGACTTGGAAGCGCTGATGGACGGACAGGTTTACACCCTCGAGGCTCGCAGGCCGCCCGGGCGCATGCGCAACACGGGAGAAGAGACTTGACGCCACGCTCTGATAGGCGATCGTTTCTTCTCACATTGGGTTTTATTGTGAAAAACCGCACGAAAAAAGAACGTGACCGTCCGTCTTCGGATTTGTGCAAACTTGGAGGGGTTCATCTGGAGGCTTTCCAGATAACAGTGGCACAAATATTTGCAGTTCCACGTGCAAAGGTGTGACCTTGCCCCATCTTTGGTTCTCGTATCGGGCACCCGCAGCGGCTCCTCTTGTTGTCTGTTTCAGAGGGAGGAAATTTCATCTGTGCTGTATGTTGCACATTTGACAGGAAAGTTGTACTTGATACTTGATCACACACGCCAATCCAAATGTTGAGCAGCGGAAAACGACTTGGGCCATCATCGGCTCAACCTTGGACCGACATGTCCATCTGCTCCAAGACGAACATGTTTCGAGCGTGTCCGGACACATCGAGACACACCAATCAACAGCAGCTGCTTTCTTGTCTCTCCCAAGTTGAGGAGACACAGAGAGGATCGAGGGGCCCCAAAAAAGCCAAGGTCACGTGGGCCCAGTGTTACTATAGCAACAGCAAACACACGCACACGATATTCCCCCGGACACATGTTGTGAGACTCGCAGTTGCCATGGTAACTCGATACAAACACATCCCTCCTGGCTCTTACATGGACAAGATTGAAGGTCATTTTGAAATATTCAAACGCCGACACTTGCGAAACACGGGAATGTTTCTCTTGACAAGTTTAGAACATTTGAGGGAGCAAGTGTCAATTTGTTTCTATGCGTCCATGTTGAGTATATTTACCTCATTCTCAACTCAGCCGTATTTGGAGAGCACTTAAAAAACAACCAGCGCTGTATACAAAATGCTGCACGCGGAGCAGTCCAACCAAGTCTCATGCTGAGTCAAAAGCCAAAGAATAAAAAATGAGTTTGAAGACGAGTTTTAAAGATGGGCAGCGTTCAGGGGCGGAGGACCTCAGAGGTGGGGGGGAGGCCACGTCAAGATTTGAAAACAAATCCTAGGATCTTCAAAAGAACTCAAAAATGTATCGGGAGCCGGTGAAGAAATCGTGTACTGCAGCACTGAGGTCAAGGAGTTGGGTGACAAAAAAATAGAGGCCATCATGCCCCCCGCCCCCCCTCGCGCAAGGTGTAATTCCGCAAAATGACCTCAAGAGGGAGACTAACACCATACATCAGGGGTCCCCAACCTTTTTTGCCCCACGGACCAGTTTATGTCAGACAATATTTTCAGGGACCGGCATTTAAGGTGTGGCGGAAATAATAATAACAAAATAATATGGTATGAGCTGCATGAAAACTGTGGTGTTTTCGAAATATAATAATAAACACAAGGAGCGTCTAATCTGGCCGCAAAACACTTCAAAGTGCATGAAAATGACAACTCACCACAGCCCCGAGCTTGATTTTCTGCAACTAGACGGTCCCATCTCGGGGTAATCGGAGACAATGACACCTCAAGTGTGTGGTTTTTGTCCAGTCTACTTCGTAATTTTCTTTTAGTTGCCGTTGCTGCAGAAATCCCCGGCCTCACAGGTAGGATGTCGGAAATAGCAACAGTGCTATTGTGGCGATCTCAGAGTATTCAGCCATAACTTTAATCCAGTTGTCTCGAACGTACTTTTAAGGCCGCCTTCATTTGCGATCTCCAGCAGTTGTTTGTCCTCATTTTGCGAGCTCAGGCGTTTTGTTTTTAGCGTAATCGGTCACGTGAAGGAGAAGCGTGGCTTGACGTGTGTCAAGTGTGACACAGACGGATGACAATGGAGAATCCGGTAATTTTTCAAAATAAAACATCTTTCGTATTCCGAAATAAATAAAACGGAATTAAGGCAAGTTCTTTCTGTGCGGCCCGGTACCAAACGCACTGCGGACCGGTAACGGTCCGCGGACTGGCGGTTGGGGACAGCTGCCATACATATATGACGTTTCGATCCCTTCCCACATCTGGAGGCACACCGATTGCCAAAACAAATTGGACATCATTTTAAGATCGTTTCAAGACAAAGACCAAAGAGGCCGCCGTCCCCCCCAAGACTGAGGCTAATGACCAATTGGCATTTGGCCCACCATCTCGTCTCGAAGCCACTCCATTCATTTTCTAAATTGCTCTTAGGCCGGAGCACTATTTCAGCTCTGCTCCGCGGAGCCCAGTTCCCCAGAGAGAGAGAGATGTGAATTCTAATGCAACCAGACATTAATATCCACACATACAAAATGGAATCCAAAAGCCGGACCATTACGGAGGCACGGGAAGTCTACATTGAGATGGAGAACTTGCCCTTAAGCCTATTTATACTAATCAGGGTAGCTGGCGGTAATGATTGAAAGCCACTTAGTGCTGGGGTATTTACAAAGAGGATCAGCCATGGTTAAACAGGCCTGAGGGATTAACTCTGTCCAATACTGTACACACTGACCAAGAGTGCATAGCGGACATCCATCATACGGCCATTTTTGAGACTGCTTGTCGTGATTAGAGAGTTGCAGGTGACCTGGCGTCTCACCCTTTTGCAAGAAGCAGGGAACACCCCGGATAAGTCGCCGGAGGGCACATGCACACAGCCGTGGACACTCGCATTCACAATATATATATATTTTTTAAATGCAACGGGTTTTTCAAGGTTAGCAAAGTACCTGTAGCTCAAAAAATTAATGCTAATTTAAGGAGCAACATTTTTTTGAAGAAGAAGAAGAAGAAACTTTCTGACATGACATGTTTGGCAACGCTTTTCCAGCGGACAACCCACCCATCTTGAGTAGCTGGACCGTCCGCCCTGAGCGGAACTTTGAACGCCTCGCACTGCATCCAGTCTGAGGTGTTGCCCGCTGAGTCATCCAACCACCAATGATGACTTGCATTCATTTCACTTCGACTTTTGTACACAAAAACAAAGTTAAAATGGCAACCAACTGTGCAGCCCGTCCAAATCCAATGTTGAACCCAATCTGATGGGTCAAAATAAGTCACCCAGCTGCCTAGCGTGTGAATTAGCAAACAACTCATCTTTTTTTTTTTTTTTTTTTGCAAAGCAATTTTCTGTCATTTTTAAAACTAGGGTTTTATTTTATTCCAACACAATGTCATGAATAATTCCATTTGGTGACAGCCCTCAACGAGCACTTGTAAAATGACGGCATCGTTTTGGAATACAACTCTGGGAATGCAGCCAGGCATGACTTGGGAACTTGCCATCCATTTCTCTGACAGACATGCACGTGCTTTAAAAGCACACAGCAGAATTTCAACAAGCAGTCACTGCAACGTGAGCACACGACAATATCAGCCTATTCTTGAAATATGAAATAACTGCTTATTTCACATATGGGACGAGAAGGCACTCTCATTCTCTGTTCAAATTCATCCTTGAAGTGTTTACCGGTCCACTTCTTCTATGCATGCCAAACACAGTCCATCCATTGATGAAACTTGCTCGGTGCAACAGAGCACATTATTGCCGGGCACAAAAAAAAAAAAAAAAGGGCCTTCTCCAACATTTTCCCCACGATAAAAATTCAAAGTAAGATGATTGACCCCGTTGGAGAGTTCAAACGCTTGTCAATATAGTCCTATAGATGTCCATTTTATCCTGTCAAGAGTCACAGATGTCGCAGTCGTCGTGGTTTTACGGGGTTATGTAAATCAGCGTAACAGAGATTAGCAAACGGCAGTCACGTGCGAGTAACTGCTGATTTTAGGACTCACGTCCCAACACAGACAGATAGCGGATTAAGCACAGGATTTGCGGAGTCAATCTGGCCTGTAAAGATGCTGCTTCTGCATCAACTCGGCATAAAGTGGAGAGGAAAAAAAACACACACACAATACGAAAAATAACAGCGGCTATTGAATGTAGCTGATACTTGGTTGAGCTCAGGAGCTCACGTTTGCAAATATGTGAATTGTGCAGGTTTTACACCGCCGCTTGTAAGGCAGAAGGAATATGTAATTTCACAAAATTTGTGGTAAAACGCGGTCAAATTCGGATTCAAATGTAGAACACACGAATCATATCCCATCATGACCGATTGTAGTCTTGACTTTTCTATAAGCTTCTTGTTTGCTTTCAAAACTTAGCTTGTAGCAGACGCGTGCACATTTTCAGCATGATGTCCCTGATCCACTGGTGAAAGGACACTTTGATCCTCTCCTCTTTCATCTATAACTGCATCAAACAACAAAGAGAATGCACAAAAGTGGTTAAGATTGAATGACTGTCTGTGTCTTATGTGCTGTGTTGTATTATTTTGCTGTTGTGTTATTATGACTTCAAGATGGCGCCGCGAGAGTGAGCGAAAGAGCCTTTGCAGCAGCTCCGATACTTTTTGTTCTTCCTTTCATAACTTTGCTGCTGTAAATTGGGAATTTCTCCATCGTGGGACAAATAAAGGTTTTCTTATTGTTATTCTTATATAACTTTTCAGGCAGGGCCAGATAAACTATGGAAAAGCAGCAACATGGCGTCACACGAACAAGGAGAATTAACGACAACGATGCAACAGATTGGAAGACGCCACCCAGATATCCCCCCTCCCGGAGGGGCCTTACTGACGAAAACGGTTTCAATCAATGAATTAACTTTCAACTTTTCTTTTTGCAGAGCATTTTTCATACAACAAAGCAGCTCAAAATGCTTTACGTAAAATCAATGAAATAATATCTTCCACACGTGCGTACACACACACTCGCAATTTTAAAACCACAGACAAATGAAGAAACTCTGAGGAAACGCTACCCGACAGTCACAATTTCCTCGGGCCCTCTGCACGTCCAGTCAGGGAGTTTTTTTTTTCTGTCGACCGACAGGGGTCGCTGCAAGGCTGCCTGGAGTGCCTTAGACGGCGCAGAGCGGCGCTGGAGCTGCAAGTGGAAACGAAACAGCAGCCGCGCAGCGCGCTACTGTAGAAGACAAGCCCACAGAAGAGATGTAGCGTAGCTTTGCTGGGACTTCGTGTGCTCAGTCGTCTCTGGCTCTTTTACGGCGGAGCATTTTGGCCGAATCTCAGCGCAAAATGGGACGAGCCGCTTGTATATTTTGCACCACGACGCAGTGTGAATGTGTCGCGTAATGCGATCGCGAGGAGGAGTTGCCTTTTGGGGGGGAAACGTTGATGTTGTGGGACGCTTTTCGCCGCGGAGTAGCTAGTTGCTAGTGCTGGCTAGCGGCTGTTGCGGCTACTCGGGACGTCTTTTTTTTTTCGCAAGGATGCTCCGATGGATACGACAGCAGCTGGTAAGAGTTCTTTTCTGCAACGTTCTCAGGGTGTTCACTGCAAAGTGCATTTGAGATTTGTCACTTGAATGACGGGTGACGGTAGCCAACAAAAAATGTGGACGAACTTTAGTTGGGCAATTTGCTTAGCTAGCCTTGCCAGATAGCTCTTGTGGATGATGTGTCCAAAAAAAAAAACGTCGATCCAAAATAATCCAGCCAGCTAGCAAACGTCAAATTGGTGAAAACGAGAAGACAATGCAGTCAAATAGACAGTCGGGTGTTAGCGTTGAGTTGACTTCCGACTGGCATTAAGTTGAGACGCACTGGCAGACCGGCTGGTTCATTTGCTCAACTTGTGCGAAGTCAGTTTGAAGTTGGTTTGGGTCCGTTGCCGTTTTGTACGATTCGCCCTTGTGCCAAGAAGAAACAACAGTTAGTTTTGATGACGCGGCGACCCAGATCATCCTCCTCTTTCATGTTGAATAATTACCGCTTAGTTTGACTCGTAGCGTTACAATTCTTGTCTCTTCTGTGGTTTTGTGCTATGACTTGCTACATATTTGCGGGCTTTGACTGCTCGGGTGAACGCATCATTTCCATACTTAACATATACTACTTTCCAACTGTCTTTTTTTTAACGAAGATTTTATTTGTGACGTTGCGCATTCATGGAAAGCAAAGAACATTCGACTTCTCTCATGAGCTTTGTTCTCAACGGTGTACGCTCAAAACACGAATTTTTCCTCGTACAATAATAAACCGGGCTCGAGACTAAATTTTCGTACTGGCTAACTACATGTATTTTTTTTTTTCTTTGTCGTAACAGCGCAAAAGTTGGACGCACCTAAATTAACCGCTGCATCACATTCAACGCTGCAGTTTTGTCGTGTTTATACATGTATTTATTTTGTTCTAAATAAATGGGTACCTGTCTTTTTAAAGTAACTATTGACTGGTGAATGATTTACTAAAACGTGGTCATAATAAAATAATTAATTTGAATCACAAGACTGCGAATTTACTCAAAGCTGCTGGTGCTAAAGGTGCTCCGAGTTAGACGGTTAGCGAGGACTTTTGAACACTTCCGTCCTTAACATTCAAGAAGTCAATCGTTCTTATCATCCACAGCTATTTCCACTCGATATCTGATGGGCAAAGGCCTGTCCCCGTAACCCATTTTTAGGGTTGATATATTTTCACAGAAACTATCACGATGAATGATTATATCGTTGTTGTTTTTTTTATGCTCCTGAAACTATGATAAGCCATCGTAACGGGAGCAAATAACATCTGATTCTCAAGAATATGAAACACTGGCATTAAGTTGTAGAACAAGAAACTAAATGTAAGTATAACAGACTCAGGCTCTAGTTAAAATGGCACTTATTAGCAAATATTAAACATTTCGTAACTTGGTATTGAGCGTCGTTGGACTTGTCCCATCATATTGATGGCTCTTGATGCAGAACTGTAGTCCTCGTAGCTCTGTTCAAGAGTGACTCAGCAGTCATTTCACCAGATGTGGTTTTTCCGTTTGCACTTCTCACTTCCCGGCACCTGACGTTTGAAATAATGGCTCGATTGCAGTTTCCTATTTCTGTCAAACCTGGTCGATGTCGACTCTTCACTTTCAGTGCCGTACGTTAGTTTGTGACCAGTGACAGACTGTTTTGCTTGGGAAGGGGTCACCGTTTCCAACCTAATTTGACCTCTCAGCAAAAAAAAAAAAAAATCGACATACTTAACAGGCTGAAACAACATCCGTGGCAAAGATAACAAACGGCTCGGCTGAAAAGCAGTGTTATGAAGCCACATATGAGCAATGTTGCGCCTTTGACAGCGGCGGCTCCACCGGGCCACATGAGCCACGACTTGCCCTGAATATTCATCATACAAGACCAGAAGTGTCACTGATTGTCATGTTTAAAATCTTTATACTGTATTATTTAAGACGAAGAAAACTTCTGTGTCGTTAATTTTTTTTTTCAGTTTTTTTTTTCAGACAATTTTTCCAGTTAAAAAAAGAGAATATTGAATGTTTTCTGATCTTTACATCTTTTTCAAGCCACACCTTTGGAAGGATTTAACATGTGCGTGTGAATGTGTACATCAGGGGTGTCCAAACTACGGCTGTTGGGCTATTTGTTTTTTTTTTTTTGTGTCTTTTCCAGTTCAAGATATCCGTGCCAAGTACAGTATGCCATGTATGGTTTGTGAACCTGGGTCAAAAACAACAACCCCAAAAAAACTAAAAACACTTATTGGTCCGATTTGTAAAAAGTGTCGGTGAGACCTGATACACACACACACACACACACACACACACACACACACACATGATTAAGCATGCATAATAGAGACACAATGGTGTACATGATTAAAATGATCTGTGAAAAGTCATCCCACTCTGGACCCCGTCTCGTGCCTCTTGTTTGATCGAGCGCCGCTCTTTGATACCATTCCAAGTAACTGGATTGGAATCGATGCGGTCCTCAGGAAACTATGCGATGACAACTGTGATTCAGGAATGTTCTCGTCCATGTCTTTTTACAAGTTTTTGGGTTCATCTTTCCTCTGCTCTCCATTCTCCTTCTACCCCTTCCACCTGCAGGGCTTTGACCCGCCCCACCAAAGCGACACCAGGACGGTTTATGTCGCAAACCGCTTCCCGCAGCACGGTCACTACATACCTCAACGTTTTGCCGACAACCGAATCATATCATCAAAGGTACGATTGCTTAAATCGTAACAGTCCGATGGCCGCTCTCTTGTCGTTGTCCCAATTCTGGCCTCGTGTCTACATAGACGTTAGAATCGGTCGCTGATAACGAGAGATGCCAAATTTGGTCCTCTTTTCTCGCGGGCGCTTCACCATCTGTTCTGGGGAGGGTGAAAATGTTCCGGAGATGATGAGGCGGCAGACTGATCGCATGCATTAGAGTTTAGCAGCCATCTTAGGTTGACTTGAACTTGTTAGCGGGCTAATCATTTTCCTGACGTTATTGTTTTACCTGAATGTGACTTCTGAGTGCCAAAAGAGAGGGAAGTCCTTTCCTTATACTTTGCCTTGTGTTTCGTGTTCAGTGGTGCACCGCTAAGTATTTGTCTCTTTCTATTGCAGTACACCATTTGGAATTTTGTCCCAAAGAATCTGTTCGAGCAGTTCAGAAGGATAGCCAACTTTTACTTTCTCATCATCTTCCTCGTACAGGTAAACGCGCGCACATTCATGATAATACATATTTTAAAAAATATTTTGTCCCATGAACTCTGGCAAGCAACAAGTGACGGAACAATTTGATATCCATGGGGGGTAGAAGTAATTGCAACCCCCCCCCCCCAAAAAAAAATGCTGCACCCTCACAATAAGTAAAAAATGGAGCTTTACAAGTGTCCTTAAGCATGACCACATCACTCAGCATCAGTCCGCCGGCTCGAGTGAGATTTGGTTCACAAGTTGTCAGAGCGCTCCTCAGTTACGTTGTGAAGCCCCAGCAATGGACTCGACTCTTTCTAAAAGGCTATTTTCACCCACTCGACTTGTCAGTGAAGCTTAGGTCATATTTGCCGCACGGAGTAAAAAAGGCCCCCTTTGTATCTTGACATTGTGGAAAGACAAATCTTCCAATTTCTTTTTTTTTTTTTTTTTTTTAAATGGGCAGGGACGGATAACTCGATCCACGCCGATGCTTTTCAGCCCGAGGCCAATTGACATCGGATCACGGATGCAATGTTTTTTTTTTTATCTGCCTTGAATTCACGCAGGGTTCAGATGTGTCTTTTTGTGGCCATTATTTATCTTGAAACAGAGATGACATAACACAGAAACATGGCATTGATATTGTGACACCATCAAGGTCGTTTGTGTGTATTTATCTATTGATGAATGTGTGGACCGTATATCTATGAACAGTAGAGATGTACATTTGTTTATTGGGCAAAAAAAGAATGGCCGCTTCACCGATGACTCAGAAACAGGCCCTTTTCCAAAATAATTTGGATTATGGCCAAGAAAGGATTCAAAACGACGCATTTGTCTTGTTGATGGTTGATGTCAGCGTGCAGCACGTTCCTCTTTTATTTAAAGTCATTTTTTTCACATCTCCTCGACCCTCTTTGCAATGACAAATGCAAATTCCAAATGCAAGGCAGTTAGTCTAGTTTTACTGCACCAGTCAGGAAAATGAATAAATTTTTTGAGCATGTTTACTCTCTTTGTCTTTCCAGTTAATGATTGACACACCGACTTCCCCCGTCACGAGCGGTCTGCCCCTTTTCTTTGTCATCACAGTAACGGCCATCAAACAGGTGACAACTTCTGCCTCGTGGCTTCCCTTTTGCCGCGTCGAAAACGCAGAGCGACTGTAACAACTCAACACAGTGCGCTTGTTGTCGTATGTGCGCTAGCTAGCTGGAATTATTCTGTTGCAAAACGCTTTCATGATCGGTGTCGCGTTTGTCAGTATCCAAACCATCTTTCATTAGCGCCGCTTGGATCTGTTGCAAAATCTGATTTGATGCCTTGACAGGGCTACGAGGACTGGCTGAGACACAAGGCCGACAACGAGGTGAACGGCGCCCCTGTGTTTGTTGTCCGCAGTGGAAGCCTGGTCCAGACAAGATCCAAGAACATCCGGGTATAAAAGGGAAACGGTCACCTCCGAAAATGTTGGCAAGGAGCATTGTAAACAGCCCAGGAATTCTTGTCGAAATCATGTGGCCCGTGTCAAATTTAATTTTTTTAGTATTATATATATTATTTTGTCATGTCGCGGGCCACTGAGAAATGGGTGGCGAGCCACAAATGCCCCCCGAGCCATCAGTTGGACACCCCTGATCTAACGCGTGCACTCGGAGTACAGCGTCCATACACGCAGGTCCCAATGTGTGCTTTCTGGGCTGTTTGCGCAGGTGGGGGACATCGTACGCGTCGCTAAAGATGAGACCTTTCCGGCCGATCTGGTGTTGCTGTCATCAGACCGTTCGGAGGGCACCTGTCACATTACCACTGCCAGCCTCGATGGAGAGACGAATCTCAAGGTGTGTGTGAAGACGCCGCTGCCTTGCGGGGAAGTGGGATTGTGTGAGAAAATGATGAACGGGCTGTCGGCTGTTGATTGTGGTTGCGTTCCGTATTCTCCGTTGTCCCAAAGTGTGGCTATTGCATAAAGGTGACCTTTTTTTGGGTTCTTGTAAAAACAAGGCCTCCATTCTGGTAAACATCTACCAGATACATTTTTGACAAATTTTCATCGTTTCGTTTGCACCCTTGTATATTACTCTCCCCACAATTTTGGATGATTTTTTTTTTTTTTTTTTGAGAGAGAGAAAAAAAAATATTTGCGAGAAATTACATGTGTCTTTTTGTGGCCATTATTTATCTTGAAACAGAGATGACATAACACAGAAACATGGCATTGATATTGTGACACCATCAAGGTCGTTTGTGTGTATTTATCTATTGATGAATGTGTGGACCGTATATCTATGAACAGTAGAGATGTACATTTGTTTATTGGGCAAAAAAAGAATGGCCGCTTCACCGATGACTCAGAAACAGGCCCTTTTCCAAAATAATTTGGATTATGGCCAAGAAAGGATTCAAAACGACGCATTTGTCTTGTTGATGGTTGATGTCAGCGTGCAGCACGTTCCTCTTTTATTTAAAGTCATTTTTTTCACATCTCCTCGACCCTCTTTGCAATGACAAATGCAAATTCCAAATGCAAGGCAGTTAGTCTAGTTTTACTGCACCAGTCAGGAAAATGAATAAATTTTTTGAGCATGTTTACTCTCTTTGTCTTTCCAGTTAATGATTGACACACCGACTTCCCCCGTCACGAGCGGTCTGCCCCTTTTCTTTGTCATCACAGTAACGGCCATCAAACAGGTGACAACTTCTGCCTCGTGGCTTCCCTTTTGCCGCGTCGAAAACGCAGAGCGACTGTAACAACTCAACACAGTGCGCTTGTTGTCGTATGTGCGCTAGCTAGCTGGAATTATTCTGTTGCAAAACGCTTTCATGATCGGTGTCGCGTTTGTCAGTATCCAAACCGTCTTTCATTAGCGCCGCTTGGATCTGTTGCAAAATCTGATTTGATGCCTTGACAGGGCTACGAGGACTGGCTGAGACACAAGGCCGACAACGAGGTGAACGGCGCCCCTGTGTTTGTTGTCCGCAGTGGAAGCCTGGTCCAGACAAGATCCAAGAACATCCGGGTATAAAAGGGAAACGGTCACCTCCGAAAATGTTGGCAAGGAGCATTGTAAACAGCCCAGGAATTCTTGTCGAAATCATGTGGCCCGTGTCAAATTTAATTTTTTTAGTATTATATATATTATTTTGTCATGTCGCGGGCCACTGAGAAATGGGTGGCGAGCCACAAATGCCCCCCGAGCCATCAGTTGGACACCCCTGATCTAACGCGTGCACTCGGAGTACAGCGTCCATACACGCAGGTCCCAATGTGTGCTTTCTGGGCTGTTTGCGCAGGTGGGGGACATCGTACGCGTCGCTAAAGATGAGACCTTTCCGGCCGATCTGGTGTTGCTGTCATCAGACCGTTCGGAGGGCACCTGTCACATTACCACTGCCAGCCTCGATGGAGAGACGAATCTCAAGGTGTGTGTGAAGACGCCGCTGCCTTGCGGGGAAGTGGGATTGTGTGAGAAAATGATGAACGGGCTGTCGGCTGTTGATTGTGGTTGCGTTCCGTATTCTCCGTTGTCCCAAAGTGTGGCTATTGCATAAAGGTGACCTTTTTTTGGGTTCTTGTAAAAACAAGGCCTCCATTCTGGTAAACATCTACCAGATACATTTTTGACAAATTTTCATCGTTTCGTTTGCACCCTTGTATATTACTCTCCCCACAATTTTGGATGATTTTTTTTTTTTTTTTTGAGAGAGAGAAAAAAAAATATTTGCGAGAAATTACACGAACCCTCAAATTCCACGTACTGCATCCCTGACTTTAGAGCACAATTTTGAACCCCGCAGGCTGGAATTTCGAACCCCTGGAAGAAGCGCTATAGTTGACCAAAAAAAAAAAAAGCATCATCCCATCCTTGTACTTAAAAATGTCTCCTATTTATTTGTGTGTGTGTCATCGCCTCATGAAAAATTCCGATTTAAAAAAAAAAAAAAAATGAACTGAAGGTTGTTGTTGTTCGCCTATTCTTTGACAAATTTCTAAATGATTTGTAAACATTGTTCCTTAACTTGAACTTGAATCATACGTTGGCTCGCCTTTCCGAAAATATTCTCAACTTGAACCAGCTTTTGTGTGCCCATGTTTGCAGACGCACTTCTCGGTAGCAGAGACGGCCGTCTGTCAGTCGGTGTCCCAACTGGAGACCTTGCAGGCTGTCGTCGAGTGTCAGCAACCGGAAGCTGACCTCTACAGGTAATTGAACACACAAAACGATTCTGTCCCAAATCTTAGTCAACCCTTGCTAAAAGGCATTATCCTTCGCAGGTTTGTTGGTCGAATAACAGTGACTCACCACGGGGAGGACGTTGTCAGGTGAGATTTTCATTCATTTTCGTCTGACTGGTCAGGATTTTTTTTTTTAAATACAATTTTCACATGAATATTTATTTCCTAATGACAACAACATGTATACACGTCCATCTTTTTGTTCATTAACACTGTGGGACGTTGCTTCCGCTGTATGTCAGACCACTAGGTCCAGAAAACTTGCTGCTACGAGGGGCCAGGTTGAAAAATACCAAAGAGATATTCGGTGAGTCAAAGGCCTCGCTCAGTGCGATGTTTGACAGCGAGTTCAAGAGAGAGACCGTTTAAAACTCACAGCTCTGTCTTCGAGATTTGATACGGATAGATTGCTGCTCTGAACTAAATTATTGACAGTGTACCCTTGCTATTTGAAGGGGGGAAAGAGAGCCCCGCTGCACATAGCCAAAAATCAGTTCGTAATTGACGCCCCCAAAATGGAGGTTCTTACATGTAGATGCTAGCCGACGGCAGCAAATCATTAAAAAACGAAGAGGATCATGAAATACCCACACCCTGACAACTGCTTTCAGTCCTTCAATTATTTAACATCGACAAACCACCTTCTTATGAAACCCATCAATCGTATTAGCTGGCATATTAGCCTGAATAGCATGCTAGCACAAACGGACGTAGCTTCGCGCGTGGGCCAACACGTGTGCGCTAATACTTCACACAAACACTGTTAAGTCACTGAATACACTTTCTGGCATTTAAGCACACTCAGTATTAGCTTCACGAGCAATCTCACATTGTCCTTACGTAATACATTTAATCTCTGGTGTGTTTTACTGTAGGTGTTGCAGTTTATACGGGGATGGAGTCCAAAATGGCCCTCAACTATAAATGCAAGTCTCAGAAACGCTCTGCAGTGGAGAAGTGAGCATTTTTGTTGTCGAATTAGCCCCATTCCATTTCGGTGCATCTCCGTTATATATTGATCGGGAATATGGGATATTAAATAGCGTATTGGAATGAAAGTAGACCTTTTCCACAATGCCTAGGAACTGGTAAATGTCCATACAATGTGACAAAAATCGGTCATTCCATGTGTACTTGTGTCTTATACTCCCCCTCGATTTTGAATGATTTATTTTTTCAAGGGGAGAAAAATGCGTGTTATCCTAGAGAAATATTCGTCAGGTACGTGTTGTTAAATACATTTTCCCATATCAGATCAATGAATACCTTCCTAATCATCTACCTGGTCATCCTGCTGGTCGAGGCTGTCCTCAGTACCATTCTGAAATATGCCTGGCAGGCTGAGGACAAATGGGACGAGCCCTTCTACAACCAAAAGACCGATCAAGAGAAAAACAGCAGCCCGGTAAATTGTCCAAATGTCCTTTTGTCAGTTGGTGCAGATGACGCGCTCGCTACAAATATGACATCGAATGGGATATATTTGCCGTATTCTCTCTCACTTTTTAATTTTATTCATTTATTTATTTATTTATTTATTTTAAAGCATGAATAACCTTTTTTGCCTGCCGCGTTCACTTAAGATCAGATTTTCGGATGTGTGCGCTGTGTGATTGTTTTCGATGAGCTCTGAAGATTATGCATATGCGTGCATTTCATTTGTAGCGTGCATATTTATTCCACGAAATCATCAAATTAATGTCATTTTATTTTGTTGTTCCAGTGCAAGTCAGACTTGTACCATCATTGAATAAATCGAATGCTTACAACCATTCATTCGAATTCTTGCGCTCTTAACCGCTGACTGCCTTCTTTTTTTTCCCACTCAATGGAACACAAGTTGTCCCCATTTACGTCCTACAGATTTTGAAATTCATCTCAGACTTCTTGGCATTCCTGGTTCTCTACAATTTCATCATTCCCATCTCACTCTATGTTACTGTGGAGATGCAGAAGTTCCTTGGTTCCTTTTTCATAGGCTGGGATTTAGACCTGTACCATGAGGAGAGTGACCAGAAAGCTCAGGTCAACACCTCAGACCTCAATGAAGAACTCGGCCAGGTATGAAACAGACTGACTAAATGTATGTAATTGTAAATAAAGGCTAAATATAATTCAGAAGTGAATTAGCCAAAGCTAAAATATGTTTCTGCAAGCACAAACGGTGTCTTTCATTTTGTGTTGTAGATATGTCAGTTTACTTGCTTAACTGTGGAATCTTATATGTCGGACTTTTTTTTTTTTTTTTTTTTTTTTTGCCACACAGAAGGTCTGTGTTTTGTCTTTGACAGGTGGAATATGTGTTTACCGATAAAACGGGCACCTTAACAGAAAATGAAATGCAATTCCGGGAATGTTCCATCAATGGGATCAAGTATCGGGAAGTGAATGGCAAACTTGTGCCAGAGGGTCGAACTGACGATTCGCCAGATGGCTCGATGGCAAACTTGGTAAGATCGACTCTACAAAGGGCATACGTGTCTTGAATTTCAAATCCAAACATACACGTTCTTTTTTTTTTTTCCCTCCCCGCCCCCACCCTTAGGATGGAGAGGAATTGTTATTTCTCAAAGCGGTGTCATTGTGTCACACAGTCCAGATCAGCTACGACCAGCCAGACTGCCTCTCTGGCGCAGGAGATCCATTCTCCCACGTCAACGGATTTTCCTCCAATGAAATGGAATATTACGCTGCTTCACCAGATGAGAAAGCTTTAGTGGAGGCAGCGAAGAGGTAAAATTAAATCTTGGGTTGCCACTCCACACAATTTCTAACAGACGCCGTTTGCTTGTTTTGCATCCTTAGAATCGGTGTGACCTTTTCCGGGATCAGAGGCGACACAATGGAAATCAAAACGTTCGGCAAAGCAGAGAAGTAGGTTGTCACAACGTTTCGTGACCCGATTCATTCAGAATGTTGGTTGGACGTGCCCGCCGATGAGGTGCTTTAAATAACAAATCAATGAAAATAAAGTGGCAGATAATTGCGAAGTGGGAAGCAAAGGACACGTTTTTCCCCCCATTTCAGCCGGGGTAGTCGTGCACATTTAAGTTGAAGGGGTGGACACTTTTTTGAAGTTGTGTTGTACTTTTTCCTGCCCTGCCTAACGGCTGCAAATTAAAATGAGTGGTCATTCTTCTTCTTCTTCTTCTTACGTTTTCAGATATAAACTGCTCCATGTGTTAGAGTTTGATGCCAACCGCAGACGGATGAGTGTCATACTCGAGAGCCCTTCAGGTACCGGCAGTTTTTCTATTGTTGAAATGACGCCTATGCTGAGAAACAAAAGTCAAGATATTTTCCAAGTAATCGATGGCAGTTGAGGAAATGTCGATTATTTTTTTTCTTCGATATTTTAACATACGGATGAGGATTGTGAAGCGTAATCTCTTCATTTTCTGTGGAATGTTGAGTTGATGGATGCCTGCCTACCCTTTTTTGCTTTGATTCAACCTGGAGGTGGCAAAGTGCTGTTCACCAAGGGAGCAGAGTCGGCCGTTCTTCCTTTCGCCACTAGCGGTGAGATCGAAAAGACGAGAATTCACGTCGATGAGTTTGCCTTGGTGAGTTATGCGATGTTTCTTGTGACAATTGTCACATCGATACAAAAGGCAGTGAACAATGGCTACGCCGCACTCGGCACAAGCAATGAAATAAAAGCAACCTTGTCACAAGTGTATTCGCCCCTCCCAATTTTTCTTTCCTTTTCCCATCCCCGCTGCAGAGAGGGTTACGGACCCTGGTGGTCGCATGCCGCCACTTCAGTCCACAGGAGTATATTGAGGTGGACAGGCATTTGAACAGCGCCCGTACTGCGCTGCAGCAGAGGGAAGAGAGACTACAGCAGGCCTTTGGCTACGTTGAGAAAAACCTGCAAGTCCTCGGAGCGACGGGGGTGGAAGACAAGTACGGATTTCTTATCAACTTAACAAATTGACGCATCTCAAAGTGTCTCATATCGGATGCGATTGCCTTGTCATGTCATGGCACAACATTCACAGTGACCGCTGTTGACCCTTTTTTTTTTTTTTTTGGAGTGGAGGTGACAATGAGGGTTTTGTTTTGTTTTTTTGTTTTTTTTCCTGTAAAAACCGGGAGCGGCTCTCGAGGACCGGACTTGGCCCCGCCCCCGAGCTCAACCGATTGTCAAACCATTCTGTGCATTTCCGAACTGAAAGTCATTCTTGTGATCTTGTGTTGCCAGGCTCCAAGACAAAGTTCAGGAGACCATCGAGTCCCTGCGCCTAGCGGGAATCAAAGTGTGGGTGCTGACCGGCGACAAACACGAGACGGCGGTCAGCGTCAGCCTCTCCTGTGGTCACTTCCACCGAACCATGAACATCCTGGAGCTGCTGCAGCAACGCTCGGACAACGAGTGCGCCGAGCAGCTCCGCAGGCTGGCTCGAAGGTGACTTTTGTCTTCTGCTCCTTCCACGAAACGCGCGTCTTTACCGTTTAAAATTCTGGTCAACGGGGGATGATGCGCAGGGTGACTAATTTGGACTCCCAACTGCTTGTTTGCGCTTTGCTAACGTTGGTTCCTAGGATCAAAGAGGACCACGTCATCCAGCACGGACTGGTGGTGGATGGAGCCAGTTTATCTTTGGCTTTGAGGGAACATGAAAAGCTCTTTATGGAAGTTTGCAAAAACTGTTCGGCGGTGCTCTGCTGCCGCATGGCCCCGCTGCAGAAGGCCAAGGTAGCGACATTATGATTGTTATTTTGAACTCTGAGGATCATTGTTTGTTTGATTTTTTTTTTTGTATTTGCTGCTGCTTTCAGTAAATCAACACGTTCTTGCTTTTTATTTTTTTTTTTTAGTATTCAATATTTTTGTTTTATCCACTTAATTGATATTAAAAAAAAAAAGTTAGGAGAAACCCTTCATAAGGAAAGAATTGAACAATGAAATGTCAACTGTTTAAGATCCAGTGCAAAAAAGGGGTCGTCCCGCCTTTTTCAACTCTTGGCCTTTCCCGGTGTGGGAAGCGGCGCCCTGACGGCTCTTTCTGTCGCCGCAGGCATTATGGGAAAGGAAGGTCGGCAGGCCGTGAGAAACAGCGACTATGCAATTGCCAGATTTCGATTTCTGGCAAAACTACTGCTGGTCCACGGTCACTTCTACTACATTCGAATCGCCACACTTGTGCAATACTTTTTCTATAAGGTACGGTGAGTCCAAAGTGTTCCTTTTGGCGCTTCGCAGGCCGCTTATCATCGCCCCCCAAAAAGTTTTTTCAGTCGATTGAATGCAACGTTGCACTTCTTTCTTTTGCAGAATGTGTGTTTTATCACACCCCAGTTTTTATACCAGTTCTTCTGCCTGTTTTCACAGCAAGTAAGTTGTTGTTGTTTTTTTTTGTGCCCTTGATTGTTGTTGACTGCATGTTTATTTTTTTCATTTCTCTGTTGCGCAAGACCTGAAGTTCGCAACAACTTGAAGTTTATTTTTGTCAGGGTGCCTTCAAAAAGTGCGGCTGTTCTGTTTTGGATTTTGACTTTTGGGGTCAGCACAATAAACATTCTCAAACGCGCCTCAAAATAAGAAAGGGGCGGGCGGAGGGGGCTTGTCCGCATTCACTCGTTTATCTCAGAAAAATCCCCCCCCAGTTTGACACGCGAGCAAGCTGTTGATAATGCGCCCAAATGATTTTGAATCGATAGAAAAGGTGCGACGCGAAAGCCGGGGTCAGCACAATAAACATTCTCAAACGCGCCTCACAAAATAAGAAAGGGACGGGGGGAGGGGGCTTGTCCGCATTCACTCATTTGTCTCGAAAAATTCCCCCCCCCCAGTTTGACACGCGAGCAAGCTGTTGAGAATGCGCCCGAATGATTTTGAATCGATAGAAAAGGCGCGACGCGAAAGCTGAGTCATATGTTGACCTGCCGTTGCTGACTGTGTTCCAGACTCTGTATGACAGTGTTTATCTGACACTGTACAACATCTGCTTTACCTCACTGCCCATCCTGGTGTACAGTCTGTTTGAACAGCTTGTTCATCCACACGTCCTGCAGACTAAACCGGTTCTGTACAGGTACTCCACAGGGGACCCCCTCCACCCCCCACCCCACAGCGCACCGATCCACAGAGCTCGATTTATAGAAGAGTTGAAAATCCGTTCCCTGTCCCATGTTTTCTTTCAGAGACATCAGCAGGAACGCTCTGTTATCTTTCCGGACGTTCCTCTACTGGACGGCCTTGGGCTTCTGTCACGCTTTTGTCTTTTTCTTTGGCTCCTACACACTGATGGGCGAAGACACCACGCTGATGGGCAACGGGCAGGTGCGTGCTCGTGAAACTTTTTTTTTTTGGCTCGTTTTTTTGTCAGATCTCAAAAGTAGAAACCCCGAACTCCCACCCGGCACGAATGCGCTGAGCTTTTTCCTCCGGGTGTTGCTTCTCCTCCCTCCCGAGGGTCAATTAGAGCGCATGCAATGTTGATGTTGTGCAAACCCGCTTGGCATGATCCTCTGCGCTCACCCGCTCCTCCCGACCTCTCGATGTGTCGTGCTCCCTAATGGCATAGCGTTTCCGCGCATGCCATCCCGATATTGAATTAGTTTTGAGTTTTATAATCCGTCTCTGGGGGTCAATTAGAGCGCATGCAATGTTGATGTTGTGCAAACCCGCTTGGCATGATCCTCTGCGCTCACCCGCTCCTCCCGACCTCTCGATGTGTCGTGCTCCCTAATGGCATAGCGTTTCCGCGCATGCCATCTTGATATTGAATTAGTTTTGAGTTTTATAACCCGTCTCTGGTTTTTGGACATTTCATCTTGCCTCGGTTTGCAATTTGTGTCATCCTAACTGTTGCTGACTTTTCTCACTTATCTTCTCTTGCCATCTTTCATCGACTCCTGCCTTCATGCCGTGCATGTTTTCAGATCTTGCGAGCTAACAGGCAGCTGGTAAGCATCGGCTCTACAATTTGAAAGCTTTCTGCGTGGCGGGCGGCGCTCAATTAGGGACGACCCAGTTTTGTTTTGTTTTTTAAACAGGTGATCATTTGGTTTCCAGACACTGCAAATTATTTGAGCCAACTGTCACTGAACCCACGGGCGGCCCGTTGGGCGACGGGTTAGCACGTCAGCCTCCAAGTGCAGAGGTCGTGGGTTCGATTCCGGCCTCCCCGTGTGGAGTTTGCATGTTCTCCTCCGTGCCCGCGTGGCTTTTCTCCGGGTACTCCGCTTTCCTCCCACATTCCAAAAACATGCGCGGCAGGTTAATGGAACACTCGAAATTGTCCCTCGGTGTGATTGTGAGCGCCGATGGTTGTTGGTCTGTGTGCGCCCTGCGATTGGCGGGCAACCAGTTCAGGGTGTCCCCTGCCTACTGGCCCAAAGGCGGCTCGGATAGGCTCCGGCTAGCCCCCATCCCTTGTGAGGGTAGAGCGGATTAGAAAAGGGATGAACAAATCACAGAAAAGCTGCATTTACTCGACATTTAGATAGCCTCTGTATCCACATGGATCAGCAAGCAGTTGATTAACTTTTGGGTCAACATCTCTTCCTCAAGAGAAACTGCTGCATGGTCCGAGCAATGACGACGAGTTAAAGCTATAAGACGGGCATTTGCGTAACTCAAATCATTTATTTATTTTGTAGCAGGAAATAATGATCACATTTTGTAAACTGGAGATAAAAAGGACTCATTTTGTTTGTCGATTTTTATGTCACACCGACAGATGTTTGGCAATTGGACTTTTGGGACGTTGGTCTTTACGGTCATGGTCATCACTGTCACGTTAAAGGTAAACGCTTCAAAAATGTTTGCTCTTCGATTCAAGTGGTATTTTGCGCATGCGTACGTGCGCTTTGGCTTGGGGGGGCAAATCCTCAAAGCATTGTTTGTTTTGTAACCCGTCGATATGAACGTTTCACACCTTTATCGCCCCGTCTGCTTGAACTCGTAACAGCTGGCATTGGAGACTCACTTCTGGACATGGATGAACCATTTTGTGACGTGGGGCTCAATTGCCTTCTACTTCATCTTCTCTCTCTTCTACGGAGGAATCATCTGGTAAGAAAAGTCCTGACATCCAAAGTACTTTATCATCGTCAGCCGAGAACCGTTTGCATACCGGCTGATGAGAGGCTGTCACCATCCACCGTTCATCGAAATTGTTTGTTAACGGTGTAGAATACAAATATTGTCAGTTCCTTCTCAGTCACCATTTGTTTTTGTTCACATTGTTCCCCTCACACACAATTTACGAA